AAAATATTTCATAGCTATAACATCAAAGGCACTATTAATTTTCAAAATATATAAATTTGACTTCAAAGTTACATGGGTCTGCTTTTAGTGTATATCAACCTATCTCAATAAAACTGTTAAAAGTAAATTAGAAAAATAATATAAGTTTGACAACTTTTTATTTTACTAAAGTCACGAAAATAAAACAATTTTATGTTATGATTATTTCATAAATAAATGATCCCGTAATAATAAATGATCATATTTCGAATAAAATTAACATGTTTATTTTAAACTTATGCCCTTGTATTTATTTTCTCAATTTTTTTGAGGACAAACAAAACAATTCACTATGTAGTAAATTTCCCTGGACTGATAGTGGCAAATTACTGACTTTCAGAATTAGTCAGTATGTCCCTTAGTTTTCTTTTATTAAACTGTGTTTATTATGTTTATTGTAACTGAAGAGTTAATAGAGGCTTGAAAAATAAATAAACGGTATTATCTTGTGAAAATTTTGCTGCTGGCACTAGTATTGTTCCTTGCTGTAATCAATGCTTAATATTTACAAATCATTGAAGCAATACTTTTGGTGGAATGCAAACTGTTTCCAAAAAAGCAGTATTAATTGTTCTAAAGAAACAAAGTATCTCTCATTATAATATACCTTCGGTAATACCTTTCCAATTTGTGCAGTGTGCTTTTTCTAGCTTTGCTATTTAGTATGCATCAATTAAAAAGTTTAAGTGACAATCTACTGATTGAAACTTAAGCATAATCCTAAGGATGAGAAATACAATAGAAAAAACTTACATTAAAAATCCCCAAATAAACCTGTTTGCCATTTAGGAAAACTTATGAATAAGCTTGACAAGATTCCAAGTCTGTACATTGTTTGGACTTTCCTACTGAGATTTAAAAGCCGTTCAATAGAGCCCTTGGCTGATTTATTTTTGGTTAAACTATAACAACTGGATAACTAATGCAGTAGTTTAAACCAAAACAATAATAAAATTTGAATATTTTCCTAATTCATCCTATAGATGCTGGTTTTTAAAAAAAGTGTCCAAGGGGTGTTTTGGGTTAGTCTTTTGAGATCTTATTTTAAGAAAGTATTTTTGAAGTGGGCTCTGGGGAAAATATATCACAACCAGGACAGAAACTCTAAAGAGCTATCTCAGCTCATAGTTAAATGGTCAAGATGCTCCATAAACTTAAAGAACTGAAGGCAGCCTTTGATCAATGGAGCAGAGGACTGAGTCAACTTGCAGTTTTAAACAGACCAATAGAGCAAAGAGAAAACTAATTAAAAAATCCAAGTTCAGCAAAGCTCCTGATTTTCTCCCAATTTATGCACAGGGGGTGTGAGAATAACAGCTAAACATAGTTTATTAATAGTCTGTAACTTTGAGTTTAAATGCCACATGTCCTCAGAAAAGTGAAGAATGAGGACATTCTAATTAGAATGAGAGAAGTGGAAGAGCAAAACATTATTCCAGATTTTGTCAGTTCCCTATGGACATAAAAACATGCGATGAAGCACAGCTAATTAAAAGGTAAATCAGCTTCACCCTAAAAAATAAGCCAAATTCAGCACTCTTTAAAGAACCAAGGTTTAAATTTCTGAAGATAGCTGTGATTGTAAAAGTATATTTGAATACTCTTTTCACTAAAATGGTCATACATCTCCTACAAACCAATGAACATTTGCACTTAAGTGGCATAAACTCAGTAATCAAGGAGGTGTATGTAAAACAACTTGTCATATACTCTTTGAGGAGCACTGTGACTCCTAGAGGTCTCTTTATGGCAGCTTTTTTCTGTGTTTTTCTCTGTCATCAACATCAACTGCCAGCAAAAAATATTGCTTTTTTTAAATAGCTTAGTCATGATTGGCTAGCATAAAGCACTAAGGTAGTAACAACTACATCAACAATGTGTGTGTAAGTACACACTTTCATATATACATATTTAAACATACAGTTATGTCCATAATGACAAATTCATATACTAAGACAGGAATCTCAAGATTTAAGAGAAAAAAATTACATTATCTTAATTCATTTTATATTGTGTGACTCTTGCTTATGTGTTCAAACTTACAGTTTAAGAATTTCCATTATAAAAATATGCTGTATTAATTGTTTAATTGTGGGTTCATTCTTATTCTATTCAATGGAAGAGGTAAGGGCTATACAGTTTATTTGTTTGCATGAATAATCATATTCTTACTTATTGGGGAGAGACTGGGCAAACCAAAAAAAGGACAAACATTATAAATTACACACAGCTTGGTACTCAGGGTGTAGGAAACAGTGTTTGTTTTGTGTAAAGAACAAAATTTGAGGAATTATACAAAAGATAACTGATAGGGTTTGGCTGTGTCCCCACCCAAATCTCACCTTGAATTGTAGTTCCCATAATTTCCACGTGTTGTAAGAGGGACCCAGTAGGAGATAATTGAATCATGGAGATGGTTTCCCCCTTACTGTTCTCATGGTAGTAAGTCTCACGAGATCTGATGGTTTTATAAGGGGCTTCTGTTTTTGCTTCTCTCTCATTCTCTCTTGCCACCACCATGTAAGAACTGGCTTTTGTCTTCTGCCATGATTGTGAGGCTTCCCCAGCCATACAGAACTGTGAATCTATTAAACCTCTTTTCCTTCCCAATCTCAGGTAAGTTTTTATCACCAGCTTGAAAATGGACTAATACAATAACAGACAAGGAAATCAGAGAAAGGTAATCTCAAATAAAGATAAGTGTTGCTAAAAAAGACATCATACAAATATACCACAGTAACAGATATATAGCAATTTCACAACCAATGAAAAGAAAAATATACTATATGCCCGGAAAGTACTAGAAATTTATCAACTAAACAACATTATTATTTTATAAAAATTTACTTGATACTTTAGCAGAAAGTGCTACATTTCTGATATTTTTAATTGATTTTTCATTATGGTTTTGATGCTATATTTTTGTAAATAACAATAATTTATATTTCTTTACCTTAATGAGAGGATCATTTTAATAACAGAATTGAATAAGGGTATGTAAAAATGATTGAAGAAGAAATCACAACAGTGATTTTCAAGAATGAATCAACAGTACTTGCAGACTTACTGGAACAAAGTCAGTTTTGATGGAGGAGACAGAGGAGTGAAAAATGATTGTAAGGTTCCATAACTGAGAAAACAGTAGAATATTCATAAAAATAGGGAGGTCAAACGAAGACATGTTAGGGGAAAGGCAAACTATAGTAGAACTATGAAATATCTTATTAGAATCATCCACAAGGGAGATACAAGTTCAGCATTTGAGCTTTGTTGAAAGTCATTTATGAAGACGTATATTTGAAGTAAAGGATATGTTTAGATTCCCCATATAAAATGTGGAGAGAGACGATCAGTATGTTATGGAGACTGTATAAATTGTTTTCCTACTGGGATACTGTTGAGAATAAAGTGAGACACTCAAAAACTATGCCTGGAAAAAAATAATAAATCTGAGTGTCCCTTACAAAATGGAACATATAATTCTAAGGTTCGTAGAACTAAAGTAGGTGATGAGATCTGGTTCCAGCAGAGAGAATAGCCACATTCCTCTCACATCTTCCCTCTAACACCTAAAAGCCCTTGCACATAACAGAACGAACAAACATAGGAAACTCTGAAAGGTGGAAAGAAGACAGCAGACTGCTAAGAACCTCAGGATTTGAGGACAATAAGTAACAGTGAACCCCTGGGTTTTCTTATTACTTCAAATGAATTCCTGAAAGGGCACTCCTGAAGCCTCCAAGCTTAAACTGCCATAGGCACAAACAAATAATAATAAAAGGTATTAGAAAAGCTCGTTTCCCTAGCCAAAGACCCAAGAAACAATAACCTAATAACAGAAAACCTTTTTGGCAATACGAGCCCAACTCCTGCCAAACACCAATGGAAAAATCTCACTGTGTCAGTGGTGTGATGAGGGAGCTGATCTTCCCTGCAATTCTCCTGCCCCACAGGTCTAAACAACCTGCTCTGATTCCCCAGCCCAATGTCCAAGCAGGAAACTAATGTTCCATTCCCTGCCGGGAAGAACCAGGACATGCTCCCATTCTCTAGCTGAATGGTAGTCACTGGCTGAACAGGGAACTGAGCGTCTGTTCCCTGCTTGGTGGAATCAGGCAATTCTCTAATTTCTCTGCCAGGGAAATAGTCATGGTCTGAGCTGGAAGCTGATCTTCCATCCCTCATCCATCCAAATAAGGCAGTGATAAGATTTTCCTGCCAGGTTAGTGGCAGTGGGGTCCAGCAGTACGGTGTGCCTACATACCTATCTGGAAGCATCCAAACGTAAGGAGGCACTGTGATATGAGGCACGTCAACACTGGCTTCACTCTTCCCACCCACTCAGTTTAAGGCCTAGCAAGGAGGCAAACATCAGCAAGGACTCACTCTGAACCCACAAGGTTGAATGAGGTGGTACAGGTTGTAAATCTTCTGCATTCTATTTTCCCTCCCTCCTTGATGTCATCAACTCATAGTTGATGACTGAAGCAAAGTAATAACACAATCTGATAGACAAATGGATGATATTCAAAAGTAAGTATTCTGCATTTCACTTGAAGTGGCAAACTGTTGCTACCAGGAGGCTTTCATAAGTTATATACTTAGAACTTATCTGGTCTGTATACATGTATGCTATAACAACTACTGTAAAAATTATACAAAATGACACTGATGCAAAACAAGTTCCTGGCTTCACCCAGGAAGGAACTCAAGAGCAAGCCAGTGGTGGAAGAAGAGTTTTATTGAGGCAGCAGCAATATTACAGCTCCCTGGTTGAACCTACACAACAGGGCTACCCCATAGGTAGTGCACTTGGAGTACTGGCCTAGAGGTACGTTTTTGGTCATATTTATACCCACTTTTAATGACCTGCTAATTCGGTGGTGGGACATCCAGAAATAGCTAGAAAATGAGTGGTAACTTTCAGGTTTTGACAAGGTAATGAGCGGTAACCTCTGAGTATTGCCATGGCAATGGTAAACTGTCCTGGCACTGGTGGGCATGTCTTACGGAGAGGTGCTTTTGGTACCTCTTCCTGGTTCAGACCAGTCTTCAACCTGGTCTGCAGTCAAGTCCCCCCTGCTCCCTAGTTCATTGCCTTCTCAGAGATTCGATACACCTTAATCTTAAGGGTGCTGCAGAAGGGCAGAGCTCCAACTTCTGTAACTCTTCCCTGGCAATTTTTTGGGTGAAGGCCCTGCCCAGCATTGAAGGAATAAAAATCTCTGAATACTTGATCTCAGAGGCCCAAAGACAGGGTGCTTTCATTCTCTGGGTCAGAAGATGAAATGGGTTGGAAACCTTGTGCCAGCATTGTCTTTACATACAACTGTTTTGATCTAGAATACACAAACTTTACTAAGAGGTAAAACAAGCAAGGACCAAAAATTAATAACAACAAGGCATCTATCAAAGGTTCCAGGATTGGTAAAAACCAGGTAAGACTTGGGAGGACATTTTTATAGTCAAGCAGATATAGTCTGGCTCTATGTAATCAGGTAGCTTGCCCACAGATCTTTTTAATAGTGACCTCAGCCTATCCAGAGTTGTTACATATGCACAGCAGGTTTTATTAACAACTGCACAGACCCCACCTTGTTCAGCTAGTAAACAATCCAATGCTAGTCTGTTATTGAGGAATACATTTGCCAAAGAGTCTAGGAATTCTTGAATTCTCTTCAATGCCTGACCTGTGTTGGTAGCTAATGATTCCAGGCTTTGAGTCAAGTTCTTTAGGGTTGACACATGGTACACAAAGCCACCCCTGGGGGGCTGCTAATCCTATTGCCTCCCTGATTCCCACCGGAATTAATCCTATTGCTTATTTATTTCTGAATTCCTAACTCTCATGTGGTTCTAGATGGTTAGCCCTTAATGGGTAATGGTGGCCAACAGACATTCACCCCATTCCAAGTTGGAAAGCTATTCCTCAAAGAACAGGTGCTCCCCTGGGCATTAGGAGTGGTTACAGGGGTAGCTTCTTGCCACTCATGGCCATAAACAGAAATGAGCCCGGTTGGGGCACAAATAGAGGCACTATGGGGTGTGATGTCTATCCTTTGCTGCCAAGTTGGGTCCATAGAGATATACTTCCCATGTTCCAATGCAGGTGGTCGAACAACCCTTGTTTCCCAGGAGGGGTGTGGTAATCCCACCTTTCCAGATTAGGCAGTTGTTTTTCCCCTGTATGTTCTGATCCGGGAGAAAGCAACATATACAGTTTCCGTTCTCACAAATGAAATCCCATTTACCTTGCTATAGCCTTGAAAACTTGGCAACTAGAACTGGATCAGGGCATTGCAGAGAAACTTCTGCTTTTGTGTCATTAACACAACATGGGCTGCAAAAGACAGAATCATTGGTGCACTGGAGATATGTATACTCAACTTCCTAGGTACATATAGTAGTAGCAATGTGTAATAGTGGAAATGTGCTTAATGTGGAATCCATTAAGCAGGGAACAGTTCCACCTAACAAATACAGGTCTAAGTACTTTGAAAACACTATGGTTAGTTAGGAGGTCTGGAGAAATGGTGGTGAGATTTTCCAGATGAGCCAGAAGGTGGAAATCTCCATCCTGGGGATGTTGATGACAAATCCAGCAACTATGAAGAGGGTACCCTGACGCTATAATTTTTGAAGTATATACTATATGAATTTGTTCCTACCCCCAATATAAGAGGTTAATTGGGAGAGCAAACAGGATTAACAGTGGGCCTTAGAATGCCTGCTATGCCCAAAAAGGAAAAAAGAGGTGTTTCCTAGGAGGAGATGGTTGACCAAAACAATTGGGAAAAAAAAAAAAGCCTTCCAATCAGGAAGAAGAAAAAAGGATTCCCACCCACTGAATCTGGTTATTATATCTAAGTGTTATTTATTTATTATTTTTTACTTTAAGCTCTCAGGTATATGTTCAGATCTTGCAGGATTGTGACATAGAAATACACATGCCATGGTGGTTTGCTGTCTGCTAATGTTATCCCTCCCCAATATCCCCACCCCCACTATCCCTCCCCTAGCCCCGCATCTCTCAACAGACCCCAGTGTGTGATGTTTCCCTCCCCGTGTCCATGTGTTCTCATTGTTCAACACCCACTTATGAGTGAGAACATGTGGTCTTTGGTTTTCTGTTCTTGTGTCAGCTTGCTGAGAATGATGGTGTCCAGATTCATCCATGTCCCTGCAAAGGACAAGAACTCACCCTTTTTATGGCTGTATAGTATTCCAGGGTGCATATGTGCCACATTTTCTTTATCCACTCTATCATTGATGGGCATTTGGGTTGGTTCCAAGTCTTTGCTATTGTAAAGAGTGCTTCAATGAACATATATGTACATGTGTCATTATAATAGGACGATTTATAATCTTTTGGATATATACCCAGGAATGGGATTGCTGGATCAAATGGTATTTCTATTTCTAGATCCTTGAAGATTCACCACACTGTCTTCCACAATGGTTGAACTAATTTATACTTCCACTAACAGTGTAAAAACTTTCCTATTTCTCCACATCCTCTCTAGCATCTGTTGTCTCCAGATAATTTTAATGCTTGCCATTCTAACTGTCATGAGATGGTATCTCAATGTGGTTTTGATTTGCATTTCCCTAATGACCAGTGATGGTGAGCATTTTTTCATATTTTTTGGCCACATAAATGTCTTCTATTGAAGAAGTGTCTGTTTATATCCTTTGCCCACTTTTTGATGGGGTTGTTTTTTATTGTAAATCTGTTTTCATTATTTGTAGATTCTGGATATTAGCCCTTTGTCAGAGGGGTAGCTTGTGAAAATTTTTTCCCTTTCTGTTGGTTGCTGGTTCACTCTAATGATTGTTTCTTTTGCTGTACAGAAGCTCTTAAGTTTAATTAGATCCCATTTGTCTATTTTGGCTTCTGATGCCATTTCTTTCAGTGTTTTAGTCATGAAGTTCTTGCCTATACCTATGTCCTGAATGATATTGCCTAGGTTTTCTTCTAGGATTTTAATGGGCTTAGGTCTTATGTTTAAATCTTTAATCCATCTGCACTTAATTTCTGTATAAGGTGTAAGGAAGGGGTCCAGTTTCAGCTTTCTGCACATGGCTAGCCAGTTTTCCCAACATTAGTTATTAAACAGGGAATCCTTTTCCCATTGCTTGTTTTTGTCAGATTTGTCAAAGATCAGATGGTTGTAGATGTGTGGCATTACTTCTGAGGCCTCTGTTCTGTTTCATTTGTCTATATCTCTGCTTTGGTACCAGTACCATGCTGTTTTGATTACTGTAGTCTTATAGTATAGTTCAGAGTCAGGTAGCATGATGTCTCCAGCTTTGTTCTTTTTGCTTAGGATTGTTCTGGCTATATGGGCCCTTTTTTGGTTCCATATGAAGTGTAACATGGTTTTTTCCAGTTCTGTGAAGAAGGTCATTGATAGCTTGATAGGGATAGCATTGAATCTGTAAATTACTTTGGGAAGTATGGTATTTTCACAATATTGATTCTTCCTAACCATGAACATGGATTTTTTTTTCCATCTGTTTGTGTCCTCTCTTATTTCCTTGAGCAGTGGTTTGTAGTTCTCCTTGAAGAGGTCCTTCATGCCCTTTGTTAGTTGTATTCCTAGGTATTTTATTCTCTTTGTAACAATTGTGAATGGGAGTTCACTCATGATTTGGCTCTCTGATTGTCTGTTATTGGTGTATAGAAATGCTTGTGATTTTTGCACATTGATTTTGTATCCTGAGACTTTGCTGAAGTTGCTTATCATCTTAAGGAGATTTTGGGCTGAGATGATGGGGTCTTCTAAATATACAATCATGTCATCTGCAAATAGAGACAATTTTACTTCTTCTTTACCTAATTGAATGCACTTTATTTCTTTTTCTTGCCTGAATGCTTTGGCTAGAACTTCCACTACTATGTTGAATAGGAATGGCGAGAGAGAGCACACTTGTCTAGTGCCCGTTTTCAAAAGGAATGCTTCCAGTTTCTGCCCATTCACTATGATATTGGCTGTGGTTTTGTCATAAATAGCATTTATTATTTTGAGATATGTTTTATCAATACCTAGTTCATGTGAGTGTTTAGCATAAAGGGCTACTGAATTTTGTTGAAGGTCTTCTCTGTATCTATTGAGATAATCATGTGGTTTTTGTCTTTGGTTTGGTTTATGTGATGGATTACCTTTATAGATTTGCATATGTTGAACCAGTCTTGCATCTGTGGGATGAAGCCTACTTGATCGTGATGGTTAAGCTTTTTGATGTGCTGTTGCATCGTGTCTGCCAGTATTTATGATCATCATGCATATTGGCCTGAAATTTTCCTTTCTAGTTGTGTCTCTGCCAGGTTTTGGTATCAGGATGTTCATCTCATAAAATGAGTTAGGAAGGATTCTCTCTTTTTGTATCGTTTGGAATAGTTTCAGAAGGAATGGTACCAGCTCCTCTTTGTACATCTGGTAGAATTTAACTGTGAACTCATCTGGTCCTGGATTTTTTTGATTGGTAGGCTATTAATTGCTGCCTCAACTTCAGATTGGGGCATTTAATTCATTTACATTTAAGGTTAATATTGTTATGTATTAATTTGATCCTGCCATTTTGATACTAGCTGGTTGCTTTGCCCATTAGTTGATGCAGTTTCCTCATTGTGTCAACTGTCTATACCATTTGGTATGATTTTGCAGTGGCTGGTACTATTTGGTCCTTTCCATGCTTAGTGTTTCCTTCAGGAGCACTTGTAAGGCAGGCCTGGTGGTGATGAAATCTGAGTACTTGCTTGTCCATAAAGGATTTTATTTTTCCTTCACTTATGAAACTTAGTTTGGCTGGATATGAAATTCCAGGTTGAAAAATTCTTTGTTTTAAGGATGTTGAATATTGGTCCCCACTCTCTTCTGGCTTGTAGGGTTTCTGCTGAGAGATACACTGTGAATCTGATGGGCTTCCCTTTATGGGTAACCTGACCTCTGTTTCTGACTGCCCTTAGCATTTTTTCCTTCATTTCAACCCTGCTGAATCTGATGATATGTGCCTTGGGGTTACTCTTC